ATCATACCACAGCGATATATGTGCACCCATGTTTATAGCGGCACAGTCTGTAATAGCTAAAGCCTGGAAACAGCCCAAGTGCCCAACGACTGGAAACTGGATAAAGAAGATGTGGTTTTTTTTATAAAATGGAGTACTACTCAGCCATAAAGAACGAGAAACTAGACATTTATAGCTAAATGGATGCATATTGAGGCCATACTCTTTAAGTGAAATAAATAGGACACACAAGTGTAAATACCAAATAGTTTTTCTAGTGTGAGAAACTGAAAGTGTAAGTAAGGATTAAAATGATTAAAATGAATAACTGATAATTTGAAATATTAGAAGGTCCAGAGGTGTAGAGGTGGTGGGAGGGTACAGTGAAAGGAAAGGGAAAGGAAAAATTAGGAGAAAAGAAAAAAAGTGGAAATGAAATCTATGTAAATAGGGAAGGGTAGTGCTCACTTCGGCAGCACATATAATAGGGAAGGGTAGAAGTGATGAAGGGCACACAGGTAATAGAGAAAAAAATAAGAACCAAGATACATCATGTACAGGTACAAGCACCCAATGATAAATTTAAATGTACTGTATATCTAAAATGTACCAATAAAAGAATTTTTTAAAAAACTAGGAAATTTGTCTATTTTAAAATAAGGCTAATTGCCAGCTGTTCCTCAGAGGACCCGTATCTAGAATATTAAAGAACTCAAAAAAAAAAAATCAGATTCCCAATAAAACTCAATTTAAAAATGAAATAGACACTTCTGAAAAGAAGTACAATGGCCAATAAATACATGAAAAAAATGTCCAACACTGCTGCCCATTAGAGAACTGCAAACGAAAACAACACTGAAATTTCACCTTACATCAGAAAAATGGCAATCATCAAATAATAAAAAGTAATTAAAAAAAAAAAAAAAGAAATCAAGTAATACCAATGCTGGAGATGCTATGGGAGAAAAAGGAACCCTTCTACATTGCTGGTTTGAATGTAATCCAGTACAATCACTTTGGAAATCAGGATGGAAATTCTCAAAACACTAAAACAAGAAATTTCATTTGACCTAGCTATTTGCCACTAGGTATCTTCCCAAAAGACATCACACTGCAGTGATATATGCATACCAATGTTTTTAGCAGCACAATTCAAGATAGCTAAATCCTGGAAGCAGCCTATATGTCCATCTATATGTAATGGTATACTACTTGGCTATTACAAAGGATAAATTCAAGACATTTGTAGGAAAATGGATATACTTGGAAAACAATGTTAAGTGAAAAAAATCAGACACACAAGCTTAAATATCTCATGGTTTCTCTTTTGAGTAATGCAAAGTACAAATAAAAAATAGATACAAACTTGATAAAAGGAATCAGAGAGATCTTTTGCAAAAGGGAAGGGATCCAAGATACCAATGGGAAGGGGGGAGAAAGGAACATAAAAAGATTTAAGATGTGTCATGTACATGTACAAAATACCCACAATGAATGTAAATATGATATGCTGCAAACATGAACAAAAGTATTAATAATAATAACAATAATAATGAAAATGGGGAAAGGGAATCTAGAGATAGAGGAAGACAGGATGGGAGGGGAAGGGTAATAATTAAAAATTAATCAAGATATCACAGCCAGGTGTGGTGGCACACACCTGTAATCCTAGCACTTGGGAAGCTGAGACAAGCAGATCACCACAAGTCCAAGGCCAGCCTGGGCTACATAGGAGTTCAAGGCCAGCCTGAACTACATAGAAATACCCTGTCTCCAAAAAACAAAAAAAAATTTAAGTACATGTACCTAATCCCTAAGAAGAATGTAAACTTTATATACTGCAAACATGTACTAATAAAATAAAATAATTAAAAAATAATATAAAATTAGGCTAAATGATATTTCCCTATAAAACTAAACTTACTGCAAGAAGTTTGTACAAAACCCAGCAATTTTACACTGGACCATATATTTTAGAAACAAAAATATACTGAATACCTATTCACAGTAGTCTCATTCATAATAGCCAAAAACTAGAAACAGCCTCGGTGTCCATCAGAAAATGAAAACAGTATAGTATGTTTACATCATGGACTAGTACTGCTATAGTTTTGACTTTAATGGCCCCCAAAACCCATGTGTTAAAGGTTTAGTCCTCGGCTTGGCGTTCTTGGGAGGTATTAGCCTAGTGGATGTTTTCAGGTCACTGGGGGAGTGCCCTCAAAAGGGACTGTGAAGTCCTGGTCTCTCTTTCTCAGTACGGCTTCCGACCTGCCATGAGGTCAGAAGTTTCCTCTCCCACACTCTCACCATGATACATTACGGGGACACAGGCCTAAAAGGAAGAGGCTAGCCAACAATGGACTAAAACCTCTAAATCTGAGCCAAAATAAATCTTTATTTTTAAGCTTATTATATCAGATATCTTGTTACAGTGATGCAAGGCTGATTAAGACAACCACTCAGGAATAGAAAAAAATCAGTGATGAACACAACTTGGATAAATCTCGAGGGAATTACGCCAAGCGAGAAAAAGCTAATCCCAAAATACTGTATATTGTATGACTTCATTTATATGGTCTTTCTGAAATAACAAAATTTTAGAAATGGGATCAGAAATGCGGGTAAGGTTAGTTACAAAAGGACAACATGAGGAATATTTGTGGAGGCAGAACTGTTCGGTGTCTTCTAGTGATGAATACACAAACTTTTATATATGTGATAAAATTGTATAGAAACAAACATACAAGTGGGTATAACTAAAAATGGGGAAACCTCATCAGGTAAGATCAGTGATTTGTAACTATATATATACACTGATTATGGTACTGTACTATAGTTTTGCAGGATGTTGCCACTGGAGGGAACCAGACAAAGGATACATGTGACTTCTCTAGATGACTTTTAATAATTGCATTTAGTTTACAATTATCTCAATAAAATGTTCAATTAAAAATTGTTGGGGAGTTTTTGGTTTTGTTTTATTAGTTTACCCTAGGAAGTCAGTGTCTCTGGAGTCTCAATGTCTTTCAGAGTTTAATTCAATCAGTGTGTCTAATAAGGGTAAAAATTACTTACATTTGGGACATCAATTGCTACTTCTCTCATGGCACTGGGCCTGATGCCATTCATTCCCTGCAAGAAATCATTCAGAGTAATCTTCACCAATCCAGCCACTTTGCCATCAGGGAGGTTAGGCTGTTTCCTCAGGACTCTTCGCAAGGCACAGAGACCTGCAAAGAAGAAAATAAGAGAAGACTTAACTTTTATTTCATAAATACAGAGTGAATAAAAATGGAAAATACAAAATCCTTGCATGTTATAGCATTTAAAATATTTGTGCTTGCATGTGTGTATGAAGGTGGAAGGGTGAGTGGGGAAGAGGATGGATGTGGAGGACAAAGACAAAAAAACTTCAAGTGCTTAGTTTGAGCAGTGGGAACTTGAGATTGAAATTGAAACTGAAAAGACAGGTATTTTACAAACATAAAATAGAACATAAAAAACAGCATGCATAAAAAAGACTGTAAAAGTTTATTAAAATAATTTAGGGATTGTCTTATAAAAGAGTAAAATATTAATATGTAGGGCTGGGGATTTAGCTCAGTGGTCTCGCTGCCAGCTCTGCAAGCACAAGGACCCGAGTTCAATCCCCGGTACCAAAAAAAAAATATATATATATATTAATATGTCTCTTACTATTACTCTTTTTGTGAATACATTCAAAGCAGAGTCACAAGATTTATAAGGTATTTGGAGAAAATTCCAAAAGGAAGTATTCAGTTGGAAGTTGGAAATGTGGTTTTGGGACACAAGAGAAAAGCATTCTTTAGAGTTAAGTGCACATACACTTAACATGAGATCTGACATTAAAGGAGAGGAAGAGATTTATAATGGATGTTCAAGAGCAATCGGGGATGGAGAAATAAGGGTAGAAGGGTCAATCTTAGGAAAGCCCTTCACGTGGACAACACAGAAAAAAATGACTGTCTTAAAAGAAAAGAGGGGCCAGCCAGAGATGTAGTTTAGAGAGCACTTGCCTAGAATGCAGAAGACCCTGGGTTGTATGCCCTGCACCACAAAAAAATAAAATAAAATAGATTTAGAGCCCTTTGATCTATGATAATGACCTCTAGTCTAGAGGCCAGTAAAGTCCCTATGTGCTCTTTACCTTGGTTCCTTTTTAGAAGTCTTATATTCCTGGTGCAATGCACAATGAAGTTTCACTTTGAAGAAATTTAGTCTCAGAAATCTCCTAAAAATCCAGTCTGAACATTTGAAACCAGCTAATTCCGACTGTTTTTAACTGCTTTTTTCAAAAGCATTATACCTCAATGAATTTTTGTTACATTAAAAGTATACCGTTTCATCACTTTACTTGCTTTTGCTTATGTTATAAACACAAGCATGGATAGAAGGAACATAGACAAACTCTCAAGAGTTCCCTATCTTTCACGATGAAAAATTTTTTAAATGAAGAGTACGAAGACCAAAAAAAGGCCCTGTGCTATCTAAAAACTGTAGTTCACTCATTTAGACCTACTTACAAATACTCATTTGTTTTTCTGCCCTCCAAAATGTTCAAAGACAATTCTCCTCTTTCACATCTCTGCTTATCATGACAGCAGAAGCACTGACTGCCTCTGTTAAATACTAACTTTTGAAGGATATCTGTGTACAAGAAAGCAGTGTCTCCCTTCAAAACAAACAACAGAAATGCTTACAAACAACTATTAAGGATCCTGATTCTCAAAAGTTCAAGGTTCCCCTTCCTATACTACCACTTTTTTTGGACTTAAGTCTCATCTAGCCCTTTGTGTCACTCTGTGAAAATTGAGGCTCAGTCTAGTAGTGCAAGTACTGTAGCTATTTCTGTTTCTGTAATAATCTGTCCTTTGACTTTCATCAGGAATATTGTGTCTTCTACAAGAACTCATGAAATTTGGCAGCTTATAATTAAACTCGAAGACTGTTATAGTTTACATCTAAAATGTTTCCCAAAGCCTCATATGTTTAGAGGTAGGGCTTTTGGAAGGTGAATGGATCAGGGGGCTCTAAATATAACTGAATGTGCAGTTAGGAGGTGGGGCCTGATTGGAGGGTGCAGGTCACTGGGGGTGTGACCTCAAAGGTATATTCTTGTCCCCAGCTCCGCTCTTCTTTCTTTGCTTCATGGAGGCCACAAATTGAGCAACTTCCCTCTACCATGCCATTTTTTTCTTGGAGTCAGTCAACCATGGATGAAATTCTCTGAAACCATAAGATAAAATAAACTTCTCCTCTCTTAAGTTGCAGGTGTCAAGTATACTGTGCTAGCAAAGAGAAGGTGACTAATACACAGATCTTTCACAATTCCTGACACGAAAATAATTTATGTCTGCAATGCTTTGAATGTTTTTGTCCCTTCCAAAACTCACGTTGAAACTTAATCTTCAAAGTAACAGGGTTGGGATGTGGGGCAAATGGAAAGTGTGTAGGGACTGAGAGCCTTCAAGAATGGATTAACACTGATATAAAAAGGGCTTCCAGGTTGTTGATTCACTGCCCTGTTCTTCTACCACAAGAGAGAACAGAGAAGCAGCATTCAAGGCACCATCTTGGAAACAGATAACAGGCCTTCATCTGCCAGCATCTTCATCTTGGACTGACCATTCTCCAGAACTAGGGGAAACAAATTTCTCTTTATAAATTACCCAATCTGTGGTATATTGTTATAGCAGCACAAAACGAACAATGCTAAATGCTGACAAAGACAAGGCTATTTTATTGCTCTACACACTTACTAAATAATGTAACACCTCTAAAAAACAAAAAACAAAACAAAAACAGGATACAATACAGTGCTGTATTGGATTAAATACCACTTCAGTGGCCTGAAGGAATTTAAGCTGTTTCTAAAAATCTAACATAAATGGAAGTAATCAAAAGATCAAAGCCAGGCACGGTGGCATATGCCTGTAATCCTAGCACTTGGGAGGCTGAGGCAAGAGAATCAATGTGAATTAAAGGCCAGCCTAGGCTACACAGTGACTTTAAGGCCAGATTGAACTACATGGCAAGACCTTGTCTCAAAATAAAATAAAATTTTAATAAATCAACAGAAAGACCAGAATAATCTGACACTTATTTAAATCCTAAATGATCATCTAACCATAGTGTCAATATTTCTAATTCTCATTTAGACCAGGTACATTATTACTAGTAGTGAAATACATTTGTTATGTTACACAGGTATAAAATTTGAAGATAGAGGAGACCAATTACTTTCATTTGTGGAATGGCAGAAAAGACAATGTATGGTTTTAAAAGTATATACAATACTATATTATAAATATGTACTTATAAAAACAAATAATCTCCACGATTTCTAAAACAAAGTAGAAAAGTCAGAGCCAGGCAAAATTTCCATACTTAATAGGAAAAAAATGAATAAAAAAGCATGAAGTTCTGTTATAAAATAATAAAGCACATTAATTCTGTGATGAATACAGTTCAATTTATATAGCCAAACAGTAGACATGCATTTACCAATGAAGCAATAATTCTAGAAACAATTTCAAAATTTATTTTTATAATCCTTTTTAAATTAGATTGCAAGCCATGTGTAGAAAATGAGTCTTAAAGCCTTACTTTATCACTCATCTTAATCTCTAAACAAAAGAACAAAATTCTGTTGGGAATTTTTAAAAGAAACTTACAATTAAATGACTATTTTTATTCCCTATAATAAATCATAGCCACGAGTACAACTATATGCTGAATCCTATGAAGCAACCTTGTAAAATATCAATCTGGGAATGGTCTTAGAGATCTACAACACATGTACAAAACATAATTGAATAATGATTTTATAAAATAATAATAACTTTAGTGAAATAAAAAATCAAAATATTCCATAAGTCTTTGCACTATTCTCACATTAGTGTCTAATAGGGAGACATGCTGTAATATGTACGATAATAATAAGAATTCAAATTAAAACTGAAAAAAACAAGGGGAGGAAGAGGAGAGATGAAATAATAAAAATATTTGCCTCAATCCAAAAGACAGCAAGAAAGGAAAACAACAGAGGATGAATGGGAAAGACAGAAAGCAGATTAAACTTAAGTACTGTAAGACAGTGCCCTAAATATGAATGTATTAAGTACTTTAATTAAAAGTCTGACAACATCAATGCATTGTACAATTCAAATTTATGGTGCTTACAAGAGATACATCTGAAATATAGGAATGTAGAAAGACTAAAAAATAAAGCAATAGAAAAAGGAATACCATGCAAGCATCAAAACAAGACATCCAGCACAATCAATAAGTCAATCCATTAAGAATATATTTATAAAATTCTAAATAAACAGATATCTCAAAATAGGTCTCAAAATATAAAAATTAAACCTAGTCCCCACCAAAATAGTCTGGCAATAAAATGACACAACTAGGATAGGATTGGCATGGCAGAAGCAAAATCTTTATGTGTAGATGAAATGATCATCTACAGAGAAAATACTAAGAAATCTCTAGGAGCTCCTAGAACTTGT